TCAGGGCATGTTCCTCAGGATACCTTCTGCTGGTCACGTTCCTGATAGTATACTCCGCAGGGCATGTTCCTTAGGATACCTTCTGCTGCTCATGTTCCTGATAGCATATTCCTCAGGGCAAGTTCTCAGGGCTGCATTTTCAAGGATGATCTCTGTTTCTTCTCCTTCACAGAGCACCCGACCTGAGTGGGAGCTGCCAGTAAAATCACTGAGTCTGTACCAAGGCATCAAAAAGAAACTGAATCCCCCAACAAGGTGAAGAACCTCAAATTCAGTGTGGATGACGGACTGAGTGATAATTTGGGTGGATCTGCAATGTGAAAGAATCCACCTTGCAGTGGGAGGCATCTTGATTTATTTAAAAAAATATTTTCACACTAACCCCCTAAATGGATTTAACAGGAGAGAAAGAGCGATCCAAGCCTTTCCCTTATAACATGTATCATGAACTACCCTCATTTATCCCATTAAGCAAAAAATACAGCCAAAACGAAAGACTGCAACTGACCCAATAAGATCTTAACAAGATTAGACAAATTAATCGTAGCATTAATACTCCTAAATCCATTTATTTTAATGAGGACTTGTGCTGTCTCTCATTACCTACCTCTACATTCTGCTTCATGGTTTTGAGTATGTTGTCTTCTGCTTAAAATACAGATTCATGGGGTGTGGATTTAAGTATCTCCTAATATTAGCAGGCTTTTTTGTGCTTTTCCTATTAATTGGTATGGAAATCACAAATTGAGCGATAGACAGAGCCCTGCGCAGCTTATTCTTCATACCGTGATGCCTGAACCCTCCAACCTCCCTTCGCCACTATATCTTCGCCCCTGACAGTAGTTGTGTCTTCTCAGGTGGGGCCTCACGGTGGTCAGCAAACAGGAGAAGCGCCAGTGGTGAGTCTGTGTCAAGGCTGCTGTAGATTGTGCTGCAGGATGCTCACAGAACCACAGAAAGGGATAAAAGTGTCGTGACAGAAGCCGTCATGACTCATATGTGGCTGATCTGGTTTTAGGTACCTGTGCTGTGATTCGGAGACAGAGATGAGGGAGTGGATGGCCATCTTTCTGAGCATCCAGGTGAGAGCCTGGCCATTTAAACAGGTTACCTTGACTCATTCTGCACACAGGGAAGTCCCATTAACCTCTGTCATTCTCCTGTCTCTGCTTTCAGTATGACGGTGACGTTTGGCCGGCAAACACACAATAAGCTTCTACCAAGCCTTGTGATCATGGTAGATGTTGACGGGCAGGGGAGGGGGTCCTGGGACATTAACATGATCATAATATGAAGAATATTTCACGACTGTGAAAAGTGTAAAATAATAAAGCCTCCTTGGGCGTAAGCAGGGTGTGATGCTTCAGTATGATGGTGAACTATAGGACTGGAAGGGACAGCGCAGCTTCAAATCAAGCTCTCACCTGGACCCGGCAGCCAAATCCATGCTATATGGCAATCCCAGCTGGGGCAGACGCCCTCATCCATACTGTATTGGAATCCCGCCTGGGGCAGACACCCTCATCCATACTGTATTGGAATCTCACCTGGGGCAGACGCCCTCATCCATACTGTATTGGAATCCCGCCTGGGGCAGACACCCTCATCCATACTGTATTGGAATCTCACCTGGGGCAGACACCCTCATCCATACTGTATTGGAATCCCATCTGGGGCAGACTCCCTCATCCATACTGTATTGGAATCCCACCTGGGGCAGACTCCCTCATCCATACTGTATTGGAATCCCACTTGGAGCAGACGCCCTCATCCATACTGTATTGGAATCCCACCTGGAGCAGACGTCCTCATCCATACTGTATTGGAATCCCACCTGGGGCAGACGTCCTCATCCATACTGTATTGGAATCCCACCTGGGGCAGACGTCCTCATCCATACTGTATTGGAATCCCATCTGGGGCAGACATCCTCATCCATACTGTATTGGAATCCCGCCTGGGGCAGACGTCCTCATCCATACTGTATTGGAATCCCGCCTGGGGCAGACGTCCTCATCCATACCACATGGGAATCCCGCCTGACATGTACACCCCCCCCCCCCCCCCCCCCCCCCAGTAGAATGGTACACTATGTATGTAACAAATTTCATCCTTGATTAACGTTATTCAACTAATATTTTGTTAACTAACCTAGGTATCACATTTTCTTAGGTATAGGTACACCTAGAGGGTACATTGTTCCATCTGCTCTCCTTGCATGTACAGGATACTGCATCTCATAACAGGGAACTGCATCCCATTTTCTTCACTGGTTGGGCACCCATCAGAGAGATTTTTCTCTCCATCGCATTGTCACTTCATCATGCTTGCTCACTAGGAAGCATAACCGAAGAGGGCACTTCATGACATTTTTCCACTAGAATGGCACCCAGAGGGCACCTTATAAGGTTTTACATCACATTTTTCCCCACTGGATTTGCATCCATAAGGGCAACTCCCCCAAAAAGTCCCATATGGATGGACACCCAGTACCCCACTGTATCACATTTTACCCACTGGAGAGGGCACCTCTTTGGGCGCTTTCCTGCCAATTTCACGTACCCTCTACAGCACTGCATCCCATTTTCTCTACTGGAATGGGCACCCTTTGGGACTCTTAATCATGTAGGGTGGCATTAGAGGAAACTTCATAATAGCACCTTCATCTATTGGAAAGGTACTTATAGGAACTATCTAGACTACCTTTCAGGGCACTGCATCACATTTTCTCCAATAGAAGGGCATTCATTACGACACTTCATCACATTTTCTTGCTCATGGCATATCAAACCATCAGCAGTTGCCCCCCACTGTAACCCCCTGACTCCACCAGCGATAAGGACCCTTCCCATCCTTTCCTTGAGCTGCAGAGAAGACTGTCAGGTGTTAATATTAAATCACTTATTTCTGATTTCCACAAAACATGAATCACAGAATCCAGAATCATGTACGGCTTTGCTCAATGTGGAATGTATAATGAGTTACAGAAAGCATTTATTGTCCTTATACTGTAATCATATTGCACTGCTTGCACTATTTTATTCCATTATTCTATTATTTTATTTCTACTTATCTGTTTTGCTTAATTTATGTTCTTTGTTCTTATATGTTGTCTGTGAATGCATCAATACCACCAAAACAAATTCCTAGTTATTGCAGTTGTACCTGGCCAATAAAGTTAACTCTGATTCTGATTCCTAAAGTTAGTTAGAATTTGCTTCTGTAATACCAAATTGGGAAAAATTCCATCTTATAGTCTTCCAATGTTAGCGTAATACTTAAGACAGGAAGTTTATGGTATATGGCCCCTGATCTGGGCAGGTCCAGTGGTGAGCCCACAGGACACCGCGAGCCCGGTCAGGCCATCAAGGGGTGCTTGCCAGGTGCCGACCCGCCCGACGTCTGGCTCCAGGGGTAGGTCCTGGTAGCCCAATGCTGAGCAGGGCACTCAGTATCTTTTTGCTACAATTCATTGGGATCTGTGTTGGACGATAGTTGCCAGACTGATCCAGGAAACGTAGACCTCCAGTCTCCCAGCTGGCTTGGGAATGTTTGAATATGCCTCTAAACGAGCTGTGTTAGTCTATGGCAGGAGTCCTCAAACGGCAGACTCCAGTCCACATCTGCACCAATTCACAATATAATCTGCACCACGAGATCATCCACACCCCCAAAAATTGTACCGAGGAGAATCCCCTCCCCCAACTGGCGAAATCTACCAACAACCCCCAACTGACGAAATCTACTTGTTGGTACCCCTCCCCCATGGACTTTGGCTTTGGGTGGCTAATGAAATTTTGAACCTGGGGAAAATAATTTAGTATCCCTGATCTAAGGCTTTAGAAAGAAAGGCTTGATCTGTCCTGTCCAGCATGCTGTCACATGAAGATGATAATGAGATTTAAATCAATTAAACTGACTGTTTGCTAGTCCCTAAAAAGTTTTATTTCATAAGTAAATAAATATATGTGTGAAAGGCATAAACAGCAGTTTCAAATGACAGCTGGTGGTTCATATTGCCACTTAATTATTTACATACAATCTGTAATTGAACAAGAGGTGTGCTAAGACATCCAGCAACATTTAGATTTTGTACAAATGTTCCACTGCTTGTTAGCTTAGTAATTCTACAATCCCTGGTAGCAACACAAAGTCTGTTTATAGGCAATATTTTTTATTAGTTTTTGAGAATAACGATATGACAGAAGTGTATATCCTTCAACGTTTATTAGAATGACATTTTGCAGGCTTTTGTGTGTTAGAATGGGCATTTACCGTTGTTGCTATCTGGGTATTGGTTAGGAAAGGAATAAGAGTACAGGGATGATTATATAAGCAATTCTACGATGCATATGCCTATCCGGGGAAAGAGGGTTCATTGGTAGACCCACTAATTCCCCCACATATACTAAATTAATGTTCTGTACAGTTCCATTCCAAACTCGAGTTTATCTACTTTGCTTCAAATGAAGTCAAGCAGAATTATTTTCCGTACTGAGCAGACGACAAGACAATTCGCAGTTAATTATATTATTGTAATGTATTATAAATAATATATACGATTCAAATGATTAAAAAAAACAAAATACGTATTATCTGAAGGTGGAAGGCAAGAAGAGCGAGGGTGCTAATCACCAGCTGACATTACGGTTTCATGACAAAACCTGCCAGGTATTGCGCCGAACTTCGTGTTTACTTACTTAAGCACTGCCGTTCACAATACTGACTTAGATTAACTTAATTAATTCTACTTGTAGATTAATATTGTTTCCTATGCAGGCTAAATAACTTTACCGAAGCGGATTTCTATAAAACGTAAGGAACTGGTACGTGGGATCCATTGCGTCTAAAATGATATGAAAAAGATACCAATAGGATTTTGAAATGGGGAGTGTGATTTGCTCCCTGATTGGACGTTACATTTTAATCTAGAAAGTCCCGCCTCTCTGTAGTTCGTTCTGATTGGCTCGCGACATCTTCCTTTACGAATGTCGGTCACATCCGGTCCAGATGACGACGCGGAAACAGAAAAAAAGGAAAGAAAAGAAGAAGGGAAGAATAGAGGAAAAGAAACTGGGGAAGAAATGAGAAAAGGCTTGGAAGAGCTTCAGAGTTCCTTAACACAGCGGAATATGTACTGACTCTTTAGACAGTTCTCTGAACATTTAAGTGATAAACATTTCACGTAGCTCTAGTGTGCTGATATGGCTGACTGACTAATGAACGCTGCCTGGTTATCGGGTTGACCGTTTTACTAGTTAGCTATTCCCTGCTATCGGGTTCACTTTTAATAGCTAGCGCTGCCTGGTTATCGGGTTCACAATTTGCATCGCTCCATCTCTTTGAGCTGCGCCTGTGAGGATGGCGACAACGGCTCTGTACGCGTGTACGAAGTGTAACCAGCGGTACCCGTTTGAGGAGCTTTCGCAGGGACAGCAGCTGTGCAAGGTGAGCGACTGTGTATGAGGATGTGTGTGTGTGTGTTTGTTTGTTTGTTCTTCTTTATGTTTGGGACATTGGGAGTCATGTGTGTGTTTGAGAGAACGTGCAGGAGGCTTCTCTGTTTGTATGTGGGTTTCTGTGTGTGAGGGTGCTGTGGGGGTCATGTGTGCGTGTTTGTGTATGAGAGAGTGAGGGTGTTTTCTCTGTGCCCTCTCACTTGTGTGGTGCTTTTACACATACTGTGTAGAAATAGTCCAGCACACTGACTGACAGGTGGGCAGAGTGTGTGTGCTTCTGTCAGGGTGTGTAGTGACCATCATTAATAATGACTATGTGAGGGTGGAGCTCCGGGTCATGATGCTGCAGTGAGTTTTGTCCAGGGGCTTTCGGGATGGTTCGCGGCTGGGTGTCCCTCACTTACACTCAGTGAATCAGCCCCCACATGTGCGGCACACATATTGTGTCATTCATTCCCATCTGGCACCTGTCACGTGTCACGGATGTGTGCAGCAGATGTCAAGGCATGAAAACTAGTTCCAGTTGCACTCCTCCATAAAGAAATACATGCCCTTTTTGTGTTGAAACAGGAATGCCGGATAGCGCACCCTATAGTGAAATGCACATACTGCAGATCGGAGTTCCAGCAGGAGAGGTAGGTGGTGCCTCCCCTCTGTGTTTGGGAGCTTGGTGTTCATTGGTATGTAGAGAGGCTGTGGACATTTGAGATGTCTGTGTGGCACACCTTCCAATATGATTTTTTTTTCTTACCGCCAAAGTACTTGAAAGATACTGAGTGATGGAGGTGGTAGCGAAGCATGGTGTCCCTGTTGTATGTCTGTGCCGTATTTTGATTGGTTGCTTTCTCAGGGTCAGGTGATGTTCAGCCCATACCTGGGTATTTGCTGTGATGGTCAATGTTTGGTTCAGACTTAATCTCATGTCAGCTTTTTTTCTTTTACAAGCAAAACGAACACAATTTGCAAGAAGTGTGCTCAGAACGTGAAACAGTTTGGGACGGTAAGTGGATCCGTCTGCACTCTACAGCTGCATCACTTATCCTGGCTTTGGGTGTGCAGCGGCTCTTCCCCTGGGATGTGGGGTCCGGAGTCACCTGGGCCAGCTGAGTGAGCCAGTACTCTTCCCCTGAGTTGTGGGCGGTCCAGAGACTCCCAGGCCGGCCAAGTGAACTGATGCTCTTCCCCTGAGATGTCAAGGGTCTAGAGTCATTCGAGCCATCCGAGTGTACCAGAAATATGACGTCCAACTGCTTTTACTTTGCTTTGAAGGTTGTAAAAACCTTAAATGTCAAGTTCTTCAGCTCCTTCTGTATGTCACAGGCAGCAAGCCTAGCCTCACGGTGTAAGAGGTGTCAGTGGAGCGTGGGGCATGATATCTGATGTTATGGTGTCCCCTGGTATCTCAGCCCAAGCCGTGCCAGTACTGCAACATCATCGCCGCCTTCATCGGCACAAAGTGCCAGCGCTGCACCAACTCGGAGAAGAAGTACGGTCCGCCACAGCCCTGCGAGCAGTGCAAGCAGCAGTGCGCCTTCGACCGCAAGGAGGAGGGGAGGAGGAAGGTGCGGCACGACTGCCAGTGACCAACGGGGTGACCGACCATGTGTGTGGCGTGAGGCTTGAGCGGGTCACCTTTCAGGACTGAGTGTCTTGCCCCCCCCTTCCCCAGGTGGATGGTAAACTCCTCTGTTGGCTCTGCACGCTGTCCTACCGGCGCGTCCTACAGAAGACCAAGGAGCAGCACAAGGGCCTCAGCTCGTCTCACTCCAACTCCTCGTCGCTCAGCGATAAGGAGCACCACCGGCAAAGCGTCTCCCACCGCAAGTAGGCCCATCTTCCACTGTGCCCCACCCAACCAGCCCACAACCCCCCTCCTTGTGTTAAATTCAAGCGTATGTGTGTGTGTGTGTCCCCTCCCGTCCCCAGGCTGAGCAGCAGTTTGAGTCCAGAGCAGGACCAGGGCCTGTGGAAGCGGAGGTGAGCTCACACCTCACCCCCACTCCCCCTATAAACATGAACCTTGCTGAAGCCATCATCATTTCGTGTTTTTTTAGCTTTTAGTTTATTGCCTGCCGTTTTGTCATTGGCTGACTAATAAAAAAAAAATAGCCCCTGTGTTCCTATTTGAAGTTTGACCTTTGACCCTTTGCACTCATCTGGGAGGGATGGGGTACTCCGGCTCAACTCTGTATGCTCTCTCCACCTTTTATTCCTCTTCCTCAGCCATAAGTCATCGATCCAGAATGAAACCCCAAAGAAAAAAGCCAAGCTGGAGACCAAGCCATCGAACGGAGACAGGTATGTGTGGGCTTTTGTGTTTGTCATGGATAGAAGAGGCAGTATCGTGCTCACTCTCACGCCCGCCTGCCCCCACAGCGGGTCCATCACCCAGTCCATGGACTCCGGGACCACGGACAACTTCATCCTGATCAGCCAGCTGAAGGAAGAGGTGATGACACTGAAGAGAATGCTGCAGCAGAGAGACCAGACCATCCTGGAGAAGGACAGGAAAGTAAGTGGCTCCCCTAGGCAGGCTGGGTGGCCCCCACATCTGGGTACAGCCCTGGATAAACCATGTTCTTGTCTATCCTGTCTCCCTTCCAAGCTGACAGAGCTGAAGGCCGACTTCCAGTACCAAGAGTCCAATATGAGATTGAAAATGAACAATATGGAGAAAGCACACAAGGAGGCGATGGAGCAGCAGCAGGTACATCCCGTGCCTGCTCTGTCCCCGTGCCCACTTTCCCGCATACCCACTCGCCATCGTATCTGCATGTCACGTGTCCGCTCGCCACTCTCCCCCTACCTGGCTCCCGGCCCGCATGTGAACCTCTGTCTCCACCACAGGCCAAGAACCGGGAGCTGCTCAAGCAGGTGGCAGCACTCTCCAAGGGCAAGAAGATTGAGAGGGCAGGGGGCACGCTGCTATCACCATGACGGCACCCCCCCCCCCCCCCCCCCCCGACAGAGTGACGAGGGCTCTCTAAAGGAGCCTCTCTCTGTGGTTTCGATCGCTCATCTCTTTGCTAATGGACATAACTCAACACCTTTGTTTCACACTGACTCACGCATACACTGTAATGCTTGCATTCATCCTTCAAACACGCCAGCATCATCGTGGTCTGGTCCAGCTTCCCCGAGGAGTGTCATCAGAGCGAATTGCCTGGTCCGGCTTCCCCAAGGAGTGTCGTCAGAGTGACACCACCCTGTCCAGCTTCCCCGAGGAGTGTCATCAGAGAGACGCCGCCCTGTCCAGCTTCCCCGAGGAGGGTCGTCAGAGAGACTCCGCCCTGTCCGGCTTCCCCGAGGAGTGTCGTCAGAGAGACGCCGCCCTGTCCGGCTTCCCCGAGGAGTGTCGTCAGAGAGACGCCGCCCTGTCCGGCTTCCCCGAGGAGTGTCGTAAGAGCGACTACGCTTGGTCCGTGTAGTCCAGCTTCTGAGAACTTTCTAGTTGTACAAAATGTTAAACAGGACCTGGAACATTACCCACCAGGCAGACATAGGCTTCTGTCTGAATCACCTTGGGAACAGAACCTGGATCAGTTTTTATATGCCTATGGTCGTTTTTATAATGTTTAATTTTTATTTATATGGATTTCCCTTGTCTGTGTAAAACAACTGGTTCATGTTGATGGCAGATACCTTGTTTGTATTTTTAATGACGTCAGTATAAAATGTGGCGCTTGTACCTGGGGGCGGCCGCGCCAGTGACACTGGTGCAGGCAGGACGGTTGGGGGCCCCTTTCTGCAGCCACAGATGCCGTTGCGTCCTGGTCCCCGGGTGAAACTAAGCAGCGTGTGGCGGGTGGAGTTTCTGGGTAACCACAAATGCCAAGCAGCAGCGTGAGGTTTGTGCTGTTTCAGGAGCTGCGCCTTCCCCTCGGCATGTCGCTGCCGGGGAGTGGCTGCGTGGCCTCCTGCCGGTCTGGAGACAGCTGGTAGCAGCGCTGCATGTGGAGAGCAGCAGTGCAGGTCGTTTCAGAGCTGAGCCTCGCATCCGTATTTAGTGGGCAATTCTTTTAAAGATGACATCCTGCCTGCAAGGGCGCTTTTGTACTTTTTTCCAAATGCAGTGTTTCAGAGAATATTAAACCTAATAAAACATCACCTCTGTGTGCCTCTTTTGGGCTCCCTGATCGTAGTCTGGGTGCACCGGTCCACTTAGTTATATGGTGTTGAGGAGAGACTCTCATTGGCCCAGATTCTGTGGTGTGCGGTGAGATTCGCGCCTCTGTGTTCATGTGTAGAGAGGAGCTAGGGCACTGGGTTTGGAATCCTTCCTGTATCGCCACACACTCAGGCACTGGAAATGGCCCATAGATTCTTCCATGTTGCTGGCCATGCTCTCCCATAATGCATTGCTTTACTGGTTAGCTTCCCTCCATGGCATCTGCCCTTGACTGGAGACCATCATGTTAGACTAACATCTGGTCAGTGTTTCAGTTCTTTAGTTGTATCACCCTATGGCCTTCGCAATAGCCGAATTTCCTTTGTTATGCTACGTTCACACCGCGAGCGTCAAAGACGCCAGCCATCGCTCCCGCCGCCCTGAACGCGACGCTAGCCAACGCCGGAGACGCTCTCTGACGTCATAGAGTGGGCGGGGACAAGGCCGCTCAGAATGCCAGGCTCTGAGAACTTTTTAAAGGGGTCGCAAAACAAACAAACGTGTAGCTTATATCTTTGCACCGACTCCTGATAGGACATAATTTGTCAAATAAATATTGTTGTGAGCCAGTTATTTGCATTCCCACTTAACATCAAGCGTTCTGGAGGGAAAATGTTACCTATAAATAGTGTAGCGCTTCTTTTCAAATTTACCTTGGATCACAATGGATGATCGCCAAGTAGTTGCTTGTGCTTTATGTTTCTTTAGTTAACATAAATAGTACTTAAAATGTTTCACGACAGTTCTACTAAAACACATAATTATGTTTTGACAAACACTAATGCTATAAATAGGTTTAACATTACCGACAATTTGCACTGTTTTCTCTGCTATGGCGCGAAAATTACTACTGATCTCCTTCCTTTTTCACAAAAAAATATATTATGCACTTAACCATCTCACCTGGAACACCGATTGTTTCGGACACTCTGGTCCATGCCTCATTTTTTTTTTTTATTTATGTCCCTGTATGCAAACAGAGACACATCATATATAACTGGGTACCCGGCCACAGCAATAATAAGTCTCTCCTCCATTGTGCGTAGGAACGGTTGGGTCGGAACAAAAGTTTACACGCTTATGTTCTGCGGCGCTCTCTTTAGCGGAGCATCTCTACATTCCCATTGGTTGCCGCCCAACCGCGTCACAGCTCATTACCATAAAGTTGACTGGGGATTCAACTTCTGTCTGACGCTCCCGCCGCCCAGATCGCGACGCGCCGCACCGCGCCGCTCCTCGACGCCTCCCGACGCTCCCTCCCATAGAGAATGAATGACTTCCGGTCGCTTTGACGCTCTCGCCGCTCGCAGTGTGAACGTAGCATTACACTGCAGCCTGTGGGGCTGTAGAATAAATATTAGGGCCCAGGTTTGTAGCGGAGTAGCAGCCTCAAGGGGTTTAGGATGGTTTGCAGGTGTAATTTCACACATTTACCACTAGATGGATACATGATGGCCTCATGCGTTTATAATGCTTTTGAGGATTAGATATAGTAAACTTTATAGAGCCCAGGAGCAATTCTTGTGCACACAACAGCAAGTACACAGGGCACAGACAAACATATTGCAAAACAAGTCAGAGTGCTAAGACAGTATACAAATAAAATATCTAGCAGGGTTTTCCAGATAGTACTTAGTCCAATAAGTAAAAAAGGAACCTCTACTAGTTTTAATTCCATCAATGCAATATCCATCCGTCTTCCATAACCGTCTTGCAGTGAGCCTGAGGCCTGTGCTAGGAAACGGTACATGCAAGGCCATCAAAGGGCAGCTGCTCACACTGTGGGCACCTTGAAGACACCAGTTGACCTAACTCCACGTTTTTGGACTGCAGAAGGAAACCTGTAATTGAAAAATAACTGAATTTAATATGAGCAATGCCCTTCAATGACAGTATACCAGGGTTACCAAACTCCAATAACCTAGATGTCCCAGCTAGGCTTTCAGCTTAAGCCAAATGATGTTACTCTATAATCATTCTCAATAGAAAGTGATCAGCGGGACACATTTAATATTGACTGACAAATAAGTCACAGGCTGGTATTTTGACATCCCAGCTTTATATGGTTTTTCATGTGGATGGTACAATGTCTCCACCTCTTGGTGAAAGTGAAAAGTCGAGGCCAGCTGTACACAGACGCATCAGGAACATCTTCATGTACTTAAACCAGCACAAAGCTAAGTTGGCTACTTATCTGGCATGCAGCTTATTTGACGGAATCCAGTAGAGGGCACTCTGTATGCTAAACTGAAGGCTCAAAGATTGTTTTCAGCTTTATTTAACAATAAGAAGATGGTAATAATTCAAATGCTTTTACTTAACTTGCTCCAAGTCAGACATATAGGCCTAATTCTGTGTATATGAAACAAAACAATGAACCTCTCCGTTGAAATTTTCCCAATTTTTGAACTTCACTGCTTATGATTAAAAGCCAAAATATCATGTCAACCAATAAAATGCATCACAGACTGAACCCTTTGCCCTTGAATAGAAAAGTATTAGCCTAAGTATGACTTAGTACTGAGTAGTGTGTCTTTGTACTGTGTTGACGCCATATAAAAATGCATGTCTACACGGGTTTTTTAAACATGTATTTTTAGGCCATGAAAACCCGGGCATTTTTACCATGTCTAGAGAGTTAAAAGACCATGTGGAAATGTATAGAGGGGGGGGGGAATGCTGTGTCTCACGGTTTATACCCCAACGACGTTCCGTAGGGGTAAGAGTTTCGGCAGGACACTTTGCTGTGTTTGCTCCGCTAATCTACGGATCCAGATACTGCCCTTCACACTTTCCCGGGACTTTGCAAACTAGGCTACTTCCTGCTATGCCGGATAATATTTTGAAAAGTATTAGCAAATCACAGGCTCATTTAATTAATTATTGAATTTGATTTATTTAAAAATAAAAGGACACATGAAGTATTGAAATATTTATGAATTATTTATTTATATATATTTGTTTGTTTGTTTGTTTCATGTTAAGTGATATGGCGTACGTGAACGGACAGGCTAAAGGTCCCTGCTCTAGACTGCATATAATAAACACGTTTTTTATTAGGTAGATATGTTTGTCCCTATTCGTTTTCCGTAGAGCATCTGGACCACGGGGACATCTGGGATATCACAGTGTTCACGAGTGTTCAGTCGGTGAGTAAATAGTAAGTAGTTTATGTTTTTCTTTTTTTATTATCGTTATTATTATTTTTCCTGGATGTTATGTAAACGTTTTTATTTTGGTGTTGTATTACATTTCGCGCGAATGCTTCTTTTGCTACGCTAAGCTTAACGCAACAATGCTAACTAGCTAGCTTGTCAACAAACCCGCGGGATCCACGTTTTCGCTCTTTTTTGAGTGAAAGTTTTATTTGGATCACCTGCGTGTTGGGTTTAAAGTACTTTACTTAGAGCTGCTTTAGCACGGTCGTTAAATTTGCCAGGAAACCGAACCATCGAAGGCAGACGAGTGTGTGCGGACGTGTGTTTGTCGTGGATAGAACAAGCACTCTGTCAAGTAAATGGGCACAGCAAACGGGCGGATGTCCTGGTAAAACGAGACCGGGCTGCTTCGCTACAGACGCCCAGCCGTGAAAGTGCTCGGATAGCGGTAAGAAGCAAGGTGCTGGACGTGGTCTTTCATCGTCAGCTTCTTTCGCCCAGCAGAGGCGGGCGAGATGACGACAGCGGCCAGACCGACCTTCGAGCCGGCCAGAGGCGGCCGGGGGAAGGGAGAGGGCGACCTGAGCGCCCTCTCCAAGCAGTACTCCAGTCGGGACCTCCCGGGGCACACAAAGATCAAATACCGGTAGTGTGCGTGCGTGCGTGCACATGCGAGAGAGACAAAAAGAGAGTTTCCTATTTTCTTAATGTGTGGATTTACTATACTAGGTGTGCTCAAGCCACAGTACAGGAGTTATGTAAGTGATTTTTAAGAAATCCCCTTAATTCCCGTCCTCATCCAGGCAGCCCACCCAGGATGCCCCAGAGGAAATCCGTGGGCGGGATTTTCGCCGGGAGCTGGAGGAGAGGGAGCGTGCAGTTGTCCGTGATAAGACCAGGGAGCGGGGGCCCCGTGGTGAGTGCCTGTTGAGGCAATCACTTTCTCGTAGAAGATGCTCATTGTGCTTATGGAAAATCTGTTACGCAAACTGAAGATTGTTCTGATTAAGTGAAAATGTTTTAGATTTTCAGTTTACTGGCCTGGAACGAATAGACTTTTTTTTTCTTTAAATCCTTTTTTCTCTCTTTCAGAGCACACAACATCATCATCCTCCTCTTCATCAAAGAGGCCTCGCTTGGACCAGATCCCAGCAGCAAACCTGGATGCAGATGACCCTCTGACTGATGTAGGCTGTCCTGCTGTTTCCTCCAGCACTCACAGCTTTAAAAAAATGCAGATTTAAATATTGCATAAATATAACAGTAAAACGTTTAATCGCTCTGTCAAAGAGTAAGAGTGTTCTATGTCAGTCCAGTTAGTGTTTTCTGAAGGAACTGTGTGGGTATGTGTAGGACGACGAGGAAGACATTTCAGATGAGGACAGTGATGATGACGACACTGCCGCTCTGCTGGCAGAACTTGAAAAAATCAAGAAGGAACGTGCAGAGGAGCAGGAACGCAAGGTAGGCTACAACCCACGAGGATCTGCTCGGTCAAGTATCATGGGCGTTTCCCACCATGCACTGGGGTACCTGTTCTCTTTGGTGTAGGAACGTGAGCAGAAGGCTGAGGAAGAGCGCATTCGCATGGAGAACATCCTGAGTGGGAACCCTCTGCTCAATCTGGCTGGCCAGCAACCGACCCAACCACAGACCACGTTCAGCGTCAAGAGGAGGTGCGTATAGTGCGTGTGGTGTGGGGTGGATAGCCCTAGGGGGCAACAGCACACCCTGCCACTGCAGAGAAGGAACCCAGCACAAGCACGTCATGGAGTTCGGGA